GAGCAATCATAGGAGGGCCTCCACCCTGGGACTGAGGGGTTTATGGGGATCATGTTGGAATCTCCACCCAGTGTGTTCCAGTTTGCCTGGAAAAGTGAAATCCGTGTAGTTTAATGCTGAAGCCTTGGTAACCTGTGGAATTGTTTTCCGTGGGTGGCTGTTGGCCTGATAGCTCAGCTAACTGCATCCTACAGAAAGAGATTTCTCCTCAAGGGTCTGTTTCATTTCCTTACCCACCCTGGCTCTTGTGCTAGGACTGGAGAGGTTCCAAAATCCTTTATAGGCTTCATGTGGGTTTGAAGGTGATTTCTGATCACCTTTTTCCATTTCTCCAACAGACCAAGAGGGGATTTTCTTCACAGGAAAGCTCCCTGTGGAAGAGCCCAGGGAAGGGAGCTCTTTCAGAGTTCATGTTGCCCTGGTGGAGCAGGGCTTTTAAACTCACAAAGCAGCAGGAAGTTTCGTGCATTTGAAAGTAAAGGCCTGCTCCAACACCATATGGAATGAACTCTGCAAGGTGCTAAGTCCACTTAATTCCTGCTGCAGTCCCAGTAAATTCCACAAAACACCAAAGCTGGGCACAGTAGCACAATCTCAGCTTTGCAACTGCWGAGCTAACAGCCAAAATAATTGACTGCTGCCCACAGAGACTGTTTCTGGAATAACTGTTAACAGTTAGGCATTCAAAATGGCCTCAGTCCAGCTTTCCTGATTTTTCTCAAAAGACTTCTGCCCGCAGTTCATTATCCTTGGGAAGTWGCTGGTGCGTGCTGAGGAAGGATAACTTTTTCTGAAAGCTCAGCTTGTCATTTTTGGTATTGTCACAGGAGCTGCTGTAAAGAGGGTTGAAGGATTAGCGCTCATCTGGAGCTTAGGGTTTTTCTAAGGAACCTTCTCTGAGGCAAACCTTATCTTTGCTGAGATCATCCCTTCTTTAGGAGCTGAATAATCTCCTTGTGCTTCCACCGAATTGGTGGCACCGGGATGTGTCATGCCCTGGGAGCCGGGGTAATTCGGTGTGACACGAGCCTGGCTTCAAATGGTAAATAGGATGATGATGATGGTGGAGGGTCTGAGGGCAGGCAGGAGGAGTGGGGAAATGCCTTGGCTGGTTTGGTGGCCAGGAGGAGTTGTGACACACGTGGAGCACCCTGGCACRGTGACAATGCCCATCACCCTGTGGGGCTCTGGCTCTGCAGGACAGAAAGGGCATCGTGTGCTGACCCGGCCCTGCACAGGGCAACAAATCCATCCCTGGCACCACAGGCTGTGYCCAGCAGCAGATGGGATCCTGCCAGGATGGTGCTCCCCACCTCGAGTGCAGGAGTGTCTTTTGGGGTTTTATATGGAATTAATGGGGTGGCTGCTCCCTGTCCCTTCTCATGGCTCACTGTGGGGTTTCTGCACGTGTGCACAGCTGCTTGCTGGCTCCAGATGTGTGTTCCTGAGTGCATTTGTGCACACATTTTTGTGCTTAGGAGCAATATACTTCTTGGAGCTGTTTCTTTTGCTCGTGACAAGGTCTCCCCTCCCCTTGCCATTCCTTGTGTTGTGCTGCTCACATCTCCTGCTGCCACGCTGTGTCTGTCACTCATCTCTGTCACTGCCACACTTTGTACCTCTTGACTTCTCATTATAGGCTTAGACAGATGTGGCAGAGAAGCCCACAAAGAGCCCGCTCCTCCCTCTATGGTAGCGTTATTCCCCATAAAATTTCTCTTTTTTATGATCTCCTGGCCGCAGTGTGCAGTTCAAAGCTGGGAATTCACAGGTCTTCAGCCCGTGCTTGCCCAGTCCTGCTACTGCCATGGTAAGGTTTGGGTGGAACTCCACTGTGGGGAGTGAAATACTGYGTGTTCCTGGTRGAAAATGGATGTGCCTCACTTGAAYGATGATTTGGCTGCTGTTGGAGGGTCATAAACTGAGTTAGGGAAGATATTAGTTGAAGTGGTTTTTAGATTAAGTTAAAGCTTCAGGTCACATCCTTCGGTCAGGGAGAGAGGAAAGAAAAGCTGCTCTTCCCTGGAGCTGTGCTGCWGAGATGGTGCTGGGAAGAGCTGCTCCTCTGAACTGCAGTTCTGGAGTGTCACTCCAGGCAAATTTCTGTCCAATATTAGAATCCAATAAAGTATCTGCCAGGGTTTGGGTTAGATGACACAAAGGGAGAAAGGGCAGATTTCATTTTCCACCAGTGAGTGTGAGCACAGCTTGAAAGGCTGTGGGTGTGCACAGCTGCCCCAGATCCCGTTTGGGGAACAAACACTACAAGGGTTTTGCCTTTACACCACTGTTGCCTTTGGTGTGCAGTGGTGTAAATGCACCAAGAGCTGTGGAGAGTTTAGAAGGATTCACCTGCAGCTGAGTAGTGGTATTGTACCAAACAGATCAAGGATCTCTTTAGCTTAATTTAAAATATGGAACCTACTGATAGAAAATATGCTCCACCACCTCACATTTACAGAACACAGTGCAAAGGTRTAGTTCACTGTGAAAATAATACAGATGAAGGTCAAATCCAGATGAAAGCCAAGCCTGGCCACATTTCAGTGGCTGATAGTGCACTTCTGTTTTCCAGGCAGGGMAGCAGAGGTGCAGGTGAGGTCAGGAGCTGGCACAGGGAAGCCTGGGGCAGGGGAGACAGCAGCGTTCCAATCACTTATTCTTAGTGCTGCATTTAAACAGAGCAATCCCTTTGCTCAGAGGATAATGCACAGTTCTGCTGAGCACACTTAGGAGGGCTCTGCCACCCCGGATTATGGGCTTGGGARGGCTCAGGCTCTTAGGATGGTTAATTCCCTGGGAGCATTCCAAACTCCCCTGCTGCCCTTCTCTCTGCTGTGAAACTGGAGAGAAGCCTGGCTCTGCTCTGCACCAGGTGTTCCTGGGCTGGAGCAGATGAATCAACCACAACTTATCACTTATTAATCACAAAGATTGGAAGTATTCAAAGCTGCTGGAAAATTATACCCCCAGAGGGAATTTTGTATAATGTATGGTGCTCTGGGGGGTATATTTAAGTTTCTATTGAGTCAGAGTCACAAAATCTAYGGGATTAAGGAGCTCCCAGCTATGGGTAGGGCTGCAGGGTCAGTTGATTGAGTGGGGACAGAAAACAGAGATTTTTACTGTTTGTTCAAGCCAAGAGAACCTGTGCTGCTGGGATTATTGTGTTAGTTTGGGGCACACTGGCTGACAAAGTGCCCAGCTGAGTGTTCAGCACCAACCTTGTCAGCTCTCTTCTCCCTTCTGTATTTTTATTYCATCTTTAGAATATCTGCTTCCTGTTGATGAAGGATTTTGGTCATTTTTGTAAGAGCAGCTGCAGTTGGTTGTAGGAGCACCACAAGTGTGCACCACTGTGGCAAACTGGGTACAAAGATGGGGTTTAAATGAATTGGAATCTGTCATCTTTTCTGTGGCTGTTTGTGGCATCACATCTTTATCAACAATAGGGACAGAGATACACAAAGTGTTGTTATAAACCTGTCAAAACCTGTTTATTGTGTGCTATTGTGGTCTCAACATGTGTTCCATGATGGGATTGACCTGGTGCCTCCATCAGAAAGCAGTTTAGTCACCAGAAGGAGTTCCAGTAGGAACTTTACACTGGACACGTTACAGGCCTGGGTCGTGAAGAAATCAGTGGGATGTTTGGAAATCCCTGTTTTTCGAACTGGATATCAAATCCTACCTAGAGATCTTGGGGTGGGAAGCCAGACTTGGTTTTGRGATAGGATTTTCAAAGATGTCTGAGCTCTGGAGTTGGCAGTCAGGGACCTGACAAGAAAGTGCAGCCAGTCTGGTTTTGTGAAGGAGGAATTTAATTTTTTTTCATTTTTCAAAATAGTTAAATCTTTATTTTGATTTCAAACATATCCTAGTACGTGAARAACTTAATTCTGGAAGGTCAGCCAAAGAAAGCACCAGAGAAAAAACTCTAAAATCCTACAGGTACCCATGTCATGCCTTCAGCTCCTATTAAAATTTTATCTAATGGCGAGACTAAAGCTGCTTCCTCCAGCACTGAGTGACTTTTTTTAGTGCATCCTCAAGTGCTCAGCAGCAGCCTGAGTCATTTCAGACCAGACAGCTACATTCCCTCAGGGATACTGGTTTACAGTCTCATTCTAGTAATAACTCTTCCAGCATCCATCAGATTTGCAGGCCCAAAAGAAGCTCCTACAAATCCTTTAAGGTGCTTTTAAAACCTTAGATAGATGGGATCCTGTAAATTACMGACAAAGCTTGAGACTAATTTTGGGTGGGACAGGGAAGGGCTTTTTGTGAATTACTAACGAGACCATGTAACCCTTCTCTGCCATGTCTAAATTTGGATTTAATGTATTTTTGGTTGGAACCAGCCATGTAAAAGCRAGCAGGGGTATTTGGGGCAGTGGTTAATCTCAGCTGCCACTAGGTCTGTTCCCTAATAAACCTCTGATGCTCTAACAATGAATATTTGCTATGCCTCCTAGATTTATCAAGGCTACTTTTAGTAGAGGCTATTCAGGACAAGATTTTGATTATTTTTCAGGCGTGATGCAGAAGGCACTTTGTGGATGAATGTTATTGTCCTCTTGGCAGGGAATGGCACGCTGAAGCTGTAGCTAGGTCTGTGAAGATAAAGAGGAAGCTGGCAAATTTACAAAATAATGGAGGTGGTCAAATGAATTTRGTATTTTGAAGCTTGTGGAAAGTTTAGTTGCATCTTCCAGTACCTMAATACTTTCATAACTCAACCTTTTWTAATCCCTGGTTCATGTCCTTGAGTGTTTGTCTGGATTTGCTGATGGCTGACTTGCTTACGTTGTGGAAACACTAGTGATATATTATATAATAATAAGCACAWATATAACATTAAAATAAGGCAAAATGTTTTAATAACAAGCTGTCATGGAAGCACTAATRAGAACAATTATTAATGGTTTGCATGATTAATGGGGGAGGAGCACAGAGCCTGTTTGTTGGTACTTACTGTAGAATCCCATTGCTTCCTGCAGGGGAGAGCTACGTCTGCTCRTCCGACAACTTCTTCAAGAAGGTGGAATACACCAAGAATGTCAACCCCAACTGGTCTGTCAACGTCAAGACCTCTGCCAACCAGAAAGCACCTCAGTCCCTGGCCAGCAGCAACAGYGCCCAGGCCAAGGAGAACAAGGATTTCGTGCGCCCCAAGCTGGTGACCATCATCCGCAGCGGGGTCAAACCCCGCAAGGCYGTGCGCGTGCTCCTCAACAAGAAAACAGCCCACTCCTTCGAGCAGGTCCTCACTGACATCACTGAGGCTATCAAACTGGAGACAGGGGTGGTCAAAAAGCTCTACACCTTGGATGGGAAGCAGGTAGGAGATCTTGCAGATGTTACGWCTTTTTCGTGCTCTTACCTCGCGGCTTTGCTGACTCAGAGCGATTTTTTTTGAAGCCTAAAATTAAGCTGAGATGATTGCTGCCATMTGTTCTCTTAGAAGTATGGCTCCTCGTGCCAGTGGTTAGGTTACTAAATTTTCCCTGATATTAATACCAAGTAAAGAATGCAGCCGTGGGTCTGGGTGGAACAGATGCTCGCCCTGCRCGCCGGCGTGCGCTGCGTGTCTGCTGGGCCAGCTAAATAAATAACAGGGGAGCTGGGCTCACAGCCACAGCTCCTCTGGCTCTGGGGRAACTGGAAGAGCTCTCCAGCTTTGGCTTTTCTCAGTGAAAACGTGTTGCCTGGCTTTCCTTGCCCTCTAGTGAAAGCTTGCTAAGACCAAGTGATTGATCCAAGCGTGCTCTTCTGGCTGGTTCCAGAGTGAGCAGGGAAAGCGTGGAGCTGTGGGGTGTTTCCTTGGCTGAATGCACGAGGAGGTAACACGCAGAAAGAGTCAGAAATATTTAGCAGGTCATCAAAATGTGCTTCGTGTCTCTGTGTTGCTGGAACTGAAGGAAACATCTGTCTCTTGTTAGCAGTTACACAGCAACGAGCCATTTCATATTGCTGCATCTATGAAAAACCTGAAAGGAATGTGGGGGATCATTTTTAGAACTGGGAACAGCTAGATTCTTCAAGGACAATTCTGAGCTTGATTTAACATTTCTGTTTATTGTAATTGAGGAACGATCTTATTTTCGTCACTATTTTTCCCGCTCCAGATTCTGGAGTGAGGCAGTGCAGCTCTTGTGTGGGTTTGGACTGTGGCTGTTCTGGGGATTCATGGTTTTGCTTTAAATTAACTCTGTCCTGTCTCTGGAGGAGATGATTCAAGTTCTGGCTCTGTCCAAGAGCATGCATTACTTTACATGTAAAAAATGTTCATTCTTCCAGCCCAAATGTGGGTTCCTACAGTGTCCTGCACGGTCCAGATGCCTGGGAGCTGAGAGCAGCRTGTCACTCTGACCTCTCTGATAGTCTGGTGTCCCTGCCCATGGCAGGGGWTTGGAACTAAATGATCTTTAAGRTCCCTTCCCACCCAAACTGTCCTCTGATTTTATGATTCTTGCTTTGTCCCTTTCTCTGTGTCCTGCACATTAGTTGGTGTCTGGTTCTATCTTCAGATAAACAAAAAAATCCCATCTCCCTGTCAAAGCTTTCCTTTCCACTCGTCTCAACCCAGCACTTTTCCTAAGAGGTACAGTTTGAGCATGAGGGGGTGACTCTCCATTTACACTGTCCAGACACTGTAAAATGCTGCAAACAAGCAGGGATACGAGGAGGAACCTTGGGAGAGGCCAGGGAAAGAGGAAGGATGGAGTCAGATGASCTGTGCTCCCTGAAGTGATCACACCTGGCCCAGGACTGTGCCCTGTGGATSACAGAGCTTTACAGAGGGTTTGATCATTGGATCTGGCCTGGCAGCAGCTCCCTGCTCATGCTGACACAGAGTCCTGTTGTTCTCCCAGCTGGGAATGGGGATCTCAATCTGAACCTGGGAGTGGCCTCAGTTCTTGGGCATTTTGGAGGGGAGATGCTGCTCTGGGTTGTGCAGAAAKAGGGATCCTCCATGAGCTTCCATCAAACTCTTCTCCCCTGTTTATCCAGTTATGGGAGCAAGTGGTGATTTCCTTCTACCTGTCTGGAGAGCAAAACAGGATCAGTCCTGATTCGACATTTAACTTGTTTCTCTGGCTTTATAATTCACCCTTTATGCAATGTGATATTTCACTGCACACTGCAGACACTGCTGGGAGTTTCAGTGTGCACCCAGTAGTGCAGTCACTGAAAACAGTGTGACTCTGATTTGGCAATAATGGGATGCTTGATGCTTGTTTGCAGCATCAATTACTGCTTAAGCTTCCTGAAGAGCAAACCTGCTTCACCAAGGCTTTGTTTTTAGTGGAAGGTTTCCCTCAGTGCTTGTTTTTTATTATTTTTTTATGTGAGTTCTCAGTGTGGAAGTCAGAGCTGGAAGCTTCTGCTYTGGGTGCAGTGCTGGCTCTTGGGGTTTCCATGACACACTGCTCCAGAAAATCTGACCTCCTGACATGACATTTGGGGGTTTTGCATGTCTGATGCTGACATTAGAAAAGAGATTACCGAATGCGTAATTCTGACAAACAGCGCTTTATTTTCAGGAGGAAATATTCATGCAGAAGCGCAAGCTGCTCAAAGCTGAAACACTGACAAGAATCCTGACAGTCTGTCTCTTTGAGTGCCATCAGAGGCACGTTACTCCCTCTGTTGTGAAATGATAAAATTTACAAAAGGAGCGTACAAAGGAAAATCATCCTTCCTCAGTCCACGAGCTGGAACTTAATGAGGGGAGATGATTATTTTATTTATAGGCATTTCCATGGTGCTCATCAGTGCAGTAATCAAGATGCTTCAGAAGTACAGACAGTGGTGGCAATGAAGGGCGGTGTGTGAATAATTACATTTCTATGCACTGCAGACCTGCTGCAGTTGGAGAGAGAGAGCAGCTAATTGAGAGCTGGATGGGCTGTGTTTGAATAAATGTGCCACTTCACTTGAAACAACAGTGGGGTTAAGTTATTTTAATGAAATTTTGTTTCTTTTTATGTCTTRGGCTGGCTGGAGAAATATGGCCCCATGGAACTGCTAAATTAGCATTTGTGTTAAAGCAGTTTATTGAACTTGGTCTTGTATGTATTTCTGATGTCTGTCCTCAAGCTCCTTCCCTCCTTGGAGCGTATCATCACCTCTYGATTCACACCCCTGAGCTCAAGAGGTTTTTCAAATAATTGACCAAAAATGAGTTGTGACAGAGAGAATCACAGCAGAGATTTACCTTTGGAACTTCCATGTGTAGGAAATGGTGTAGGTCAAAGAATTCAGTGCGTTTAGGGACCAAATTCAGCACTTGGCTCCACAACTACAACTGCTGTYGTGTTGAGATGTGTCATATAATAATTAAAATATACACATTCAGGATTTAATTTGGTCAGGTCTGTGGATCTCATTGGAAAACAATTATTTTGGTAGACTCTTTCTCCTTTTTTTAAACTCTTAGTCCTACCCAACAGCCCAAATAAGTCTGGATTCCTGGGAGCCCTGGCTGCTTGATAAACACGTGATGACAGTTTCTGCAGCAYGTCGTTAACAAACCAAATTAGAAAGCAACATTTGAGAGTGGGGATGAAGTTTCATTTGGGCATTTTGAATGCAGTAGGCTGAACTAGACATTGCAAATGTCTGGATTTACTGTCCTGCTCATGCTTGAGCTTCCTTCTCACCATGGTGTGAATGGGTCGGTGTTTTCTGGGAATGATGAGGCTGTTCCATCCCTGACAGCCCAGCACAGCTGCTTTCAGCACCTTGCTTTGCAGGTGGGCTCTGTCTGCATGCCTTCCTGCTTTTAAGTGATCTGTAAAAGCTGATGTYTTCTGTGCACACTGAACTCTGCCCTGTGTTTTATTGCAGTGTCTGAGTTGTTCAGCAAGTGCCTGCAGAGATGTAGTGACAAAAATCAGYCCCTTTTTTTGGTCATTGGCTGAGTTGGGTGATACTCTGGCACAGCCAGAAATTCATCAGACATGTTCAGTTGTACTTTAGCATTAAGTTGTTGTTTTTTGTTGTTTGTGGTTTTTTTTTTGTGGCATGGAATTTATTTTTCTTCAGCTGTTTTATTGCCGTCTCTTAATTAACTTACAACTGTCATCACCAAAAATAAGCAGAATAGGTGCTGCTCAGGGCAGGGAGAGCTTCATGCTTCAGCTCCACATAAATAGAAATATTCTGGCCAACAAGCAGGGAACAGATTGTGGTTTTAGCCACAGTCACATGCAGTGATCTCCCCTGGCCTCTGAAGCTGTTAAACACGGGRAGAAGTGGCCTGTGCTCTCTTTGTTGGCTGTTCCCTTGCCCAACACAGTGCTGCTGCTCCATCTGAGTGCTGGCTGTCTCACCAGATGAAATTTCATACATTTCCATATGTCAGGGCCCTTGTGACTGCGCTCCCAAAAGAATTTCCACCCTGAATAAGAAGGTCCCCTGTAGCAGCCTGGGCTTTGATAGGATATTGAGTGGCAGGGGATGAGTGGAGCTCATTCTCWGTTTGCAGAGCTGATGCCACTGCCCCCGGGGCCACCCCACTSTCCTGGCCAGGCAGGAAGTTGCCATTTCATTTTAGATATTCTGCATTGAGGAAGGGCAGCAGCCACGGAGGGAGAAGCAGGATGACTAAGCTTACAACAAGTTTAAGGCTGGGACTTGGTGATCAAAGTCAATAAATTAGCTGCTAAAAGCATTTCTTAAATACTTCACTGAGATATCCATACAAGTTGCACTGGAGAAACCAACCAAACTTTGAAGCTGCTGCACTGACTTTAAGCTGGTTTTTGGAAAAAAAGCTAGTAAAAAGTGTTAATAGTGGATCAAACTCTTTCAAGATAGTGTAGCTCTATCAGTTGTATTAATGAAGTTGTGTCAATGAGACATGGAAGAAGGTTTGCAGCAAAATACAAAAATGCCTCCAACAGCTGCAATCTGTAACTGGTGCTCAGGAAGTAGGTGAACACCTCTGTGACTGCACCCAGTMAAATCTGCCTTGCTGGAAGAGCAGAGGGAGCCTGTTCCCTCCAGAGYCCTGGCAGCATTAACTCACACCCTGAGGCAGGAGGTTCGAGGTYACAGAGTGAGCAAATTGGTTTGTGTTACTGCACACGTCGAGGGAGAGGATGTCAGGACTCCTCGTCCTTCTGAGCTGGTGACTTTCGGGTACTGAAAAACTACATGGAAGTAACCCCAGTTCCAAAGCAGTTGTGTGCATTTGTTAAAGCTGGGATTTAGCCCCAAAGGAGATGGGAGGAAAGAGGAGTTCTGTGTGTGCTCTGTGCCCCACCTTCTGCTAAAGCTCCTGCAGCAGCCACTGCAGAGGGGAGCAGCGAGTTCCACCTCCCCTCCCTGCTG